ATGAAGATGTTAAAGTTGTTCTTGCTGTGCGAAGAATATCAAAGCGAAGATGGAGATGAAGGAAGATGCACATGCCGTTACTGTTGATGACTTCAGAGATGATGATGCAGAACTATTGACGAAGATCATGACGATTGAAGTCGTTGTGCCCAGAGAAATCTGAAGGTGAATGCATAGAATTGATGCTTGAAGATTGTAGAAGGTGTTGCAAATTGTTGGAGGTTGAAGTAGAGGGAAAACAAAGAATAATTTAGAGGTGATTTTTTCTGTTGAAGCTTTTTCCTGTGAACTCTCCCTCTCTCTCTTTTTGTTAAAATAAATCATGAAATCCCTGCAATTTGTTATCGTGTCTTCTGTTGTGAATCTTCTTTTCATATCAGTTGGAGTTGTTTTATTTTATAAGGGTTAGCTAGGTAGTTAGAAATGGTTGGGGTCTGTTATGAATCTGTTAGAAGTTTGTTGAGTTAGTTATGAATCTGTTAGAAGTTTGTTGTTTTCTGTTTGGTTTTCTATTTGGAATGTTGGTTTAATTCTGCTAGTTTGGATCTACCCTTTCTACTAAGCAGTCAGGAGGCTATAGGTAAACTGGACTGGAAGTTTAGAATTTTTTTTGTTTTGTGATTTTGAAGTTTTTGCAGGGCTGTTATGAGGATGGTTTTAAAAAATGGTTAAGAATCCTGTTAGGCTAGGAGTTTGTCATTTAGTTTGGGGATGAGGAAATTATTTAGGAGGAGTTTAGAGTTTGTTATGAAATCGGTTAGGTGGTTAGGAGGTAGTTATGATTGGTTAGTGGGTTATAGGTTTGTTAGTTATTCTGTTATAAACTTTTTTATGTGCAGGGCTGTTTAGAAAATGATTAGGGAATGCGTTTGACAGTTGGTTGATTTTGGGACAGTTAGGGATTCTGTTTTGGTTTTCTGTTACAGGTTATGGAATGGTTATGGCAGTTTATTCAATATTTTTGCAGGTTCCGCTTATATCATAGTAGCTTGGACACATGAGACATAACTGGAATTTGAAGAATGACCCAAAAATGGATCCACGGAAGCTTGTGAGATGAAGCAAGGCTTAAAGATTTAGGATAGCTTTAGCATAGGGTATAATTTGTAACTCTTAGTAGTTTCTATGTATCTTATGTAAAGGAGATGAAAATATGTAATGGTATTGATCTTGTATTGGTTTAAGGGATTTGGAATATGATTACATTCTTTTGAAATATTGATGTATGAGATGTAATCAGAATGTTGATAAGACTAAACTTCTCGTAGTGAAAAGAACTTGAAGTCATAATGAATAGGGTGCTGTATTTTGTAAAAGAAGCATACTTTACAAACCCTTGAATCCAAATGATATATTCTTCAAAATGTTAAAAAGTGATATTCCTTTCAGATTTATCGTGAATTCCTAATGCCTTCTCTTATAATTGCACTTGAATAGACGATTATGTATTTCCACGCCTTGACTTTTCAACAATGGAATGAATCACCGCCTTTAAGTATCCTTAAGTAATTGAATGGGCTTGACTATTTCTAGGACTTTTAATCTAAAACTCTGATGTTTCACAAGACAACACTAGGTTTTAATCTCAAAGCACTCGAAATTGAGTCTCAACGAAAGTTTAGGCCATAAGTAAACTCAAGTGTTCAGATGAGATCATATCTCACATTGATGTCCACAAACCTTGAATTATGAATAAAACCCAAGTGAAACTATCTTTCCATATTCTTGTATGAACACCTTAGCCGTACACTCTATGATTCAATACCAATAAGCGAACTTCCCTTAATAAAAACCAATAGAAGACTTAGATTCCAATGGATAAGAATTCTTCAATGATAGCTTCCTCGTGTTGCATACTGAAGAAAAACTTTAAGATGCCATGAATACACCAAGATATCTTCCGTAATCTCGTACCTTAAGCACTAATGGAAACTCTTTAATAATGAGATGGACTGATGAACAAACTTCATGGATCCCTCCTGGATTCCACATGATTAGAAAAATAACTCTAATCCCTATGGAGATGATGAGCACATGAAGATGACCTTCGACGCTCTTGTTTGTAGCCCTTGAGTCTTTAGTTAAGATAAGGTTGCAAAGAGATGAAACACTGATGCCTGAGTGAAACCTTAATTCTTCGGAATCTTTGATCACATGCCATATTTTATTGATTAATGAATGAATGGTGTTGTCAAATTACCTAATGGGAGTTATGTACATGAGAGAAGCGCGGCAATGCATAAAACAGATAAAAGTAAAAGGGTAGGACAAATTTGGGGTATTACAACTTTGACTATAAAAAACACATATTTTTCTTGAACAAATCCAAACCCTTGCAAAGATTTATTCAACCATAAAATCTTTTTGCATGCTTCAGTAATGACACTGAACCTTGCCTCTATAGTAGACAATGCTACACACTTTTACAATTTAGATTGTAAAGCTACAACTCCTCTTTCAAATTTAATTATGTAGCCCAAAGTAGACTTTCTAGAATCAATCCAGCCATATGTTAGTCAGAGTACCCCTTTAGAGTAAGTTTGCTCCTTCAAAGAAAAGCCTCATATAAGTAGTATTGTGATGTTACCTTAAAAACCATTTTACAAAATTTCAATGTTCTCTACCTAAATTTGACAAAAGTATAGTGACGATACCAACAACACGTGTTATATATAATATAGTACACACCATTACAGACATCAAACTACCAACAACAGTAAGGAACACATTTCATATCAAATATTTCTTCTTCACTTGAAAGAATTTGATTAGAATTCAACTTGAAATGAGTAGTAAGAAGAGTTTTATCGTCTTAAAACTTTCCATATGGAATCTCTACAATTCTCTTTTGATATAATATTTTGGTAACATCCAAAGTTTCTTCCTACTTATGTCATTCATAATTCTAAGTTTAAGAATTTGTTTAGTTGCTCTCAAGGATATCATGGTTGATCTTCAACTAAATATACAAGATAATAGATACGAGTGTTTGTGTCTTTTCTTCAAAATAAATTTAGGAGTGAAGTGACCAATCATTCTTTCCAATGGTGGATTGAAGTGGTTAGTCTTCTTTCCTGAAACACGAACTTTGGAGGTGTTAGTCTACAAGTTCCAAAACCTATGAGCTTAAAACCTTGGTTTTACACGGGATAACCAATAACGTGTTTGATTTTTACACTAGCCTGATTTCGAACATGTGAAGCTTTTAATACCGGGTTGAGCTTTTATCTATCTTGGTTTTAATACACGGATGATCAAAAACCCATAACATTTTTAACACCAGTTAATCTCTAAGCTAAACTAGGTCTGAATCACACAATCACAAGCACAAGCTTCTTACGCGTTTAGCTTCTAACTCAAACAAATCACTAAATGGATATTATTAAACCAATGTGTATACAAAAGAGTCCCTTGGTGAATTTACAATTCTACTCTTTTCATAATTACAAAAGTATCCTCACTCAAAAAAGGACTTTTCTCACAAAAGCACTTAGGCTAAAACAATAGTAAGAGAAAGTTAAAAACAAGTTTAGAGAGGGAGAAAGAAAGGTGGATGAAAGTGTCAAAACACAATTCTGGATGGTTTGGAATAATAAATGGAACCTCTATTTATAGGTCTGAGGTTGACTCAAAAAGGATTTTCAATTTAATGAGTTTTAAAGCAATCTAATCAATTAAAGCTTATTCATAATCAATTAGATGGTTAAAATAATCGATTATATCTTTATCCTCTTAATTATTCATGTTTGACTAATCATAGTACATTAGTTGTCATCATCAAAATAAATGTGCTTGTTAAATCATATCACCTACAAAACAAGGTTCCACACAATAAACATATCATTAACATATAACAGTAGGATAATAAAGTGATCGTTAGACAAATTTCTACTAAATATGCAATGATCTAAAGTAGTCTTTGTTGTAACTGATTTTTAAATCAGAGTCGCCACCCTTAATTTTTATCCTAAAGAAGGGAATATAAAGGATAATTCTAAAATTTATAGATTCTAGGTTTTTTGGACTCGGTTCTAGACGAAGGAAAAAGGTGTTAGGCACCCCTCATCTATCTTGTTCACAGGGATACTAGGGTGAGAAGCGTGATTTTAGGAAATATGGTTTTAATTTTTATTAGGAGAACTCGCCACGATTTTAATCGTATGCCTATGTATTCTCTTAAGAGGAATCAAAGTCTCAATTCATAGTTCGCAGTTGGTTTGTATATTTTATGTAATAATTATAAAAAATACCTTATATAAAATGCATGATTAAAAGATAATTTAATGCAAATAAAATAAATAATATTTTTTATGGGTTGGAAAATAATATATCTTGTTTTATGATAATAATAATAATATAATAGTATTAAATATATTAAATATATTAAAATAAGAAATATAAAAAATAATTATAATAAGATAATAAAGAAAATAAAATAAAACGTGTGGGGTGTAAATATAGTTGAGATAGTAAAATATGACGGTGTAAATAGCATGGGCCAAAATCTAGATATTGGATTTGGCCTAGCAGCGCATGGGGTATTAATTTTAGTTACGCGGCAAAAATGGGGGGTATTATCAGTATGGTCCCAAGTGTGTATTTTCTCACGTGTTAGCAAAAACAAGAAAACAATGGAGTGTATTACTGGAAATCGCTGGTGAGCTTAATGTTTATGGTCCAAACAAATTTACTTATTAGCTTAAATAAAAAAAGGTGGTGTATATAAGAATTTGTACTGGTGTTTAAAGTTTCAAATGAGGCCCAAATGAAATTAAAACATAACTCTTTTCTCAATCTAATTCCATACTATACTTCCCCCTATGTTTTCAATTCCATCTTCACGCTTCTATAACAACAACAAAAATATTTCTTCAATGATTCTCTTCACTCTCTACTCAGAACAACAAACACAACAATAGAATTCCTCTGATTTTCTCTTGGTTAACCATGGATGGTAAAGCAAGGAACAAAGCACTGGATTTCAGCTTGCAGTGATGTTGTCAATGGAGCTGGGCACCGACAGTTGAGCGCAACAGATCTAGACGAGAGGCGCGGTGTCCGGTTGAAGGAGAGTTTGTGTGAGGCGTGGTTAGCGTGGTGAGTTGGAAGATTGACGGAGGGAGATTGAGAGGAGGTCCGAGTTGGGATTTGCGACAAGGATTATGGAGTGTCGTGAATGTGCTTGCGAATCCGAGGGAGGCGCGGTTGGAGGAGGGTTGCGGATCAGACTGGAGCGTTACACGAGCGAAGGAAGCTTCAGACTCGTGCATTTCAGTGTGAATCGATGTTGAAGAGTGTGTTGTCTATACTAAGGGTGCATTCGTGACAGGAGGTTAGTGAAGAATCTTGAGATTAAGCTAAAAAACTATTGAAATATCACTGTGAAATCTCAAAGTTTCGTTTCTATCCAGAGCTTTGGTAAGGGTCGTGACGTTCATTCAAGAACTTTTTTTGGTTTCTCCCTCTGCAATCATTTTCTTTTCTCTCTTTTCCTCTGCCTTATCTGTTTTGATTTCTAAGTATTTATAGCAATTGGAGTTTAGTATATTAGGAAGTAGTTTATGAATTTGTCGTTACTGTTTTAACAGATTAGAGATTTCCAGATTTGTTCCTGATTTTGTTGTAATTTGTTTCTGCATTTGTGTTGATTTTGTATTAAGTTTCAATTTAGTGTTGATGAGCATGATACTGTTATAATTTGTTTCCTGTTCTGGTTTGATTTTGTCTCAAAGATTTTGAACAGTATTTGTTCTTTTAGGCTTCGAAATATGTGTTATGTTCTTATTGCGCGCTTTTTTTGCTTTGGAACGGGCCTATCAGAGTTTTTGGGCTGTGCATTTTTAGGTCTTTCTTTGGGTCATGCGCATTTGGACTATGTGATTGGGTTGCTTGTTATTGTTTCAAACAAATAAAATAAATATCTCTTTTTTAATTAAGTGTTTTAAAACACAATGATTAATAATAATAATAATAATAATAATAATAATAATAATAATAATAATAATAATAATAATAATAATAATAATAATAGTGATGTTGATAATACTAATAATAATATTATAATCAAAACAAAACAGTTTTTTTTAAGCAAACCAAAAAAGCTAATCAGGCAATATTGTACAATTGGGCCTTAACATCAAGCAAAACGAATTACTTTCTTCACCCTCTCTAAAAAGGAATGAAACCTTAATGGACCTTAAAAAAACAATTTGTTCACACCTCCTTGGTTAAAACAATACACCTCCTATTTTTTTAATTCGAAATGGATCTTTTTTTTTAAAAGCCTAATGGGCCATCAGATATTGATGGTCTATTTTAAATCAACACATCCCTTTTCCATGTTTTACTCCCCCATAGAAATAAAAACTATATAATATGACTTTAAGAATAACCCTAAATATAATATAAGGGTAGGGGAAATTTGGGGTATGACAGATGCCCCTATTTAATTGCTTTCGATTGAGTAGTGCGAGAATACGCAGGTTTTGCATGTTCTGATCGGAAGTTTATTAAATATTGGAAGACCCCAAAATTTGTCCGCAAAGGATACATTGTACAACGTTCCTGTGGGTATGAAGAGTAGGCATAAATGATGATGTATCATCTCACTAACATTTGAAACAAAGTTTTTTTTACTTAGATATGACGACGCAGATAACCCGTCAGTATCTAAGAACAAATCGTTGCATATTTACCATAACCTAGGAGGTAAAATAATACAAGTTTTGCAAAGATGACTTACTAATGCTTGGAGACTAATATAGTAAGTTTGTGACACATATTTTATATATTCATCGCAACCTAGGGGATGAATAACATAAAGCTTGGTAATACATTGCTGCTTAGAGGCTAACGCAATGAGCCAAAGATTTTTCGCATACCTACCATAGCCTCGAGGATAGATAAAACGGGCTTGAAACTAGATATTTGGAACTTGGAAAGACAATGTCGGTTGTGTCAGCCTAGAATCGATAACCAAAAGAAATATGCTAGATTTGAAGCGATGAAATCCAAATTCACTAATGATGTTGGTTGTATCAGTCCTCAACCACGACTACCAACATCAAGAAAATAAAACCCTAAATTCATCGATGATGTCGGTTGTGTCAGCCCTCAACCATGACTATCAACATGAAGAAAATAAACCTCAAATTCATCCATGATATCAGTTGTGTCAGCCTTCAACCACGACTATCAACATGAACAAAATAAATTCCAAATTCATTGATGATGTCGATTGTGTCAGCCCTAACAATGACTATCAACATGAAGAAAATAAACCCCAAATTCATCGATGATGTCAGTTGTGTCAGCCCTCAACAATGACTATCAACATGAAGAAAATAAACCCCAAATTCGTCGATAATGTCGGTTGTGTCAGTCCTCAACCATGACTATCAAAATGAAGAAAATAAACCCTAAATTCGTCGATGATGTTGGTTGTGTCAACCCTCAACCACGACTATCAACAAGAAAAATAAACCCTAAGTTCATCGATGATATCGGTTGTGTCAGTCCTCAACCATGACTATTAACATGAAAAAAGTAAACCCCAAATTCATCGATGATGGCGGTTATGTCAGCCCTTAACCCTGACTATCAACGTGAAGAAAATAAACCCCAAATTCATCAATGATGTCGGCTGTGTCAGTCCTCAACCATAACTATCGACATGATGAAAATAAACCCCAAATTCATCGATGATGTCGATTGTGTCAGCCCTTAACCATGACTATCAACATGAAGAAAATAAATCCCAAATTCAACGATGATGACGGTTGTGTCAGCCCTCAACCATGACTATCAACATGAAGAAAATAAACCCCAAATTGCTTTAAAGTTTGAACTATACAGTTCACACAGATAAGCATGCTAATGATGAACCCCAAGAAAATTTGTAATTTTAACCAAAGTAGCTTTGCAAGATTCCATGCATGCATAATGCCCTAAATTGATGTGTTATCCAAGTGTGATGTATGCCCCTAATGTTTTAAATGCTCATGTGCCAAAATGCTTATGTGTGTATATGACCCAAACGTATGTGTATGCCCCAAGTGCTTGTATATGCCCCAAATTTATGTATATAACCTAAGTAAAATGTTTTTGATATTTCTCTTTTATAAACCATCGGGTTCTCGTAGTCACCAACTCCCTAATGTTGTTTGTTGTCAATTGTTGTATCTCCAAGTTGATTTGAATTTGGTGAAAAGTGTCAGCAAGATCTTGATGTATGTATCGTAGGCGCAAGCGTAGCTGTGGACATAGACGTGGACGTTGGCGTGGACGTTAACATTGACATAGTCGTAGACGTAGGCATGGGTGTAGAAATAGGCGTGGACGTGAACGTAGGCGTGGATTTTCTTTTGACGTTTTTCTAACCAAAAATGCCTTTTGATGCTTTCGTCAAATGCTTTTATTTGTATGTCAATTCCAAAATGATTTCAAACAATATTCACAAAAGATAATCGTAGTATTTTTGCAGACAAGTCAAAAAAGAAAGAAGCGTAATTGAAATATTTGAAAAACTTGAAAGTTTTATTGATAAATATGCCTCTGAATAAGAGAGTGTACAAGATGTAATCCCTAGAAAGAGGTAATTACAGAATTTTTTTAAAAACTGTAAATGGCAATGAAAGTGATAATTGCTACTGTTGTTTTCCCCAATATCCTTTTGATAACTCTAACCTTTTTTGCTTTTGAGTCAAATAATTTGGATCCATCTCTCCCTTTGAGGTTTGGGGTCGCAGTTCTTATATCACAATCCTTTTGTTTTTTATTTCTTTGACTTTTCGGGATTTCAATCCACCGGGAATTTTTTTTTGTATGTCCCTAATTTTTGCATGGATCTCCCTTTAGGATTTTTGATCCACCGGGACGCTCATTTTTGCCTAAGTTGTCCGTTTAGGGTTCGAACTTAGCGAACTTTCTTATACGTAGTATTTTTTTACTGCTTCTGAATTTGCCGGATGCGGTAGTTCTTCCTGATCCATTATTGTGAGGATGAGACCACCACTGAAGAATGTTAGTTTTACCATATACGAATCTTCATAGTTGGGTGTCCACTTACCACGTGAATCGAGGCGAGGTAGCAGAATCTTCTTGAGCACCAAATCCCCTTCTTTGAATATTCGAGGACGAATCTTCATATCAAAGGCTTTTTTTTCATCTGCTTTTGATATAATTGACAGTGGCATAAAGTTGTTAAGCGTTTCTCTTTAATGAGGTTGAGTTGATCAAATCGTGTTTGTACCCATTATGTTTCTTCAAGCTTCGTTTCAATTAGAACCCGGAGTGACGGAATTCCAATTTCCACTAGGAGTATTGCCTCAATGCCATATACCAGGGGAAAAAAGAGTTGCTTGTTGAGGTACACACGAAAGTACGATAGCCATGTAGGGAAAATGGAAGCCTTTCGTGCCAATCTTTGTATGTTTTTACTATTTTTTGAATGATTTTCTTGATGTTTTTATTGGCAGCTTCAATGGCTCCGCTCATTTTGGATTGAGATGAGCTTTGGAAATAGTCTGATCATAATATGAATGACCTCACTATTTTGCATTATGCCCCTGATTAAAAGATTCTTGAAAATGTTTGGCTTTGATGAACCATTTTGAATCAACTCTTTTTGGTCGAGCCTCTCAGTGGTTTTCCCCACCATTCGAATTTTGGAAGAGGTGCCCCTCAATCTCCTAGATCTGGAGGAAGTACCCTAAAAAAGAACTTATACCTCACCATGAACTTGACATGGATTTCCCCAAGTATTCGAAGCTTGAGGGGTCTGTATCTGAAGTTGCTTGAAGGGAAATTTGGACCTTATGCGTAGTAAGATGAACTTGGTACGTACTGCCCCAACATTTGAATCTTGAAGGGTTACCCCTGATTATCAAGGACTTGAGAGGTTTGTTAACACGAGGAAACTGAGTCATACCCTGTTGTGGTATGGCTTAATTAAGGAATGTTCCTTCGAAAGGTATGCCCCTGATTGAATAGTGCTTTGAAATTTGATCCGAGTTGATTGAATCTCAGAATGATCACCCCTTGTAATATGCCCCTATGATCATTAGTATTTTCCTCTGTCTATAGGGATCTTTTTAGATGCTTTTCCCCTAATTAGAAGCTTCTTGGAAATGCTGCCTTTGATCAGCAATTTTGAAATCTCCTTGATGCTAAGTATTGATTCATAGATAAAATTATACATTTTGAAAAGTAATTCCGCTTGATGCACATGCAAGTTCTTGAAATCGAAGTTTGAATATAAATGGATGATTTA